ATTCTCCACTACCTTGGATTATGTACATTAGACCTTCTGTTAAATAAATTCTACCATAAGGACCCAGGCCATTGGCTGGGAGATTTTGCTTTGTACTTTATATTTTCAGATAATTAACTTTTAACATGCCTCGACACAGTTTTGAAGTGGGGAAGGAAAAAAAAAACCCACTTCTTAGCTCTCTGACCTTCCCTGTCCTGTAGTCAGAATGACACTAGTTAGGGCCTCACAGGCCTCTTTTCACTTCCAAAAAACAAACAAACAAACAAACAAAAAACAACAGTCTTATAGTTACATGTAAATCATCATAAGCAGCTCCTAGCTCCAAAGGAGGGCTGGACTCTAACCTGCAATGAAGCAATTTTCTCCCCTTGAAAGCTTAGCCTGGCAGTTTTACAATTGCCTATCAAGAATTGCATGCCAAGGGGCTGATGCCAGCCTTGCAGACATATCCCCAGCCACCCACCCGGAAGTCCAAATGAGCCTTTCCGGACCTCTCCATCAATAGCAAGCCACGTTTGGTTTTTCTGTCTCCATTCCATTCACCATCCGACCAGCTGGAAATTTACTAACTGCAATTTCTTAGTGCCTTTCCAGGCGTTCAGAGAGGATAACATGCAGGGATGGTTCCATCCGTGGTTTTATTTTCCCCTGTGCCTTCATACAATGGGAAAGCAGGAGTCCTGTCTTCCTTATCGCCCTCACAACCATTATCTCCAGCTGTTTTTTTTATTAGAAATACCTGCACAATTCTGAGTAGGCAGGGTGACATCTGTTGATAAGTTAAAGCCGCTTTGCACCACAGTAAGAGGAAACCAAGGGACGCCAGCCTTGAAGGTGGGAGCTTCGGGGCCCATCTCAAATGGCATTCCTGTGTTAGCAATAAAGCGAAATATCTTCAGTTATTTCCTTTTTCCCCTCCCCTTCCACCTGGGAGAATCATGTGTCTTTGAAAGACTGGGTCAATGGGGGCAAAAAAGAACCCAAATAATATTATAATGGCTGGTGTGGGAATGGCAGGTAATTTATACTTCACTGATGTGTTGCTGGACCAATTTTAAGGGCAAAATGTTAGCGTTTGAGGAGATGAAAGAAAAATGAAAACATTTATTTGGTTTAATGGCTAAGTAAATAAACTGCCTATCAGACTTTCCCAGCTGTCAAGCCAAAGTAGCGTCTGTAACAATAGGGAACTGTTTGCTCTGTCTCCCTTACTAACAGCAGATATTGCCATAAATAACAAGCTGCTGTCGTTTTTTAATACTGATCTTCATAGCAGGAACCCAAGACATATAAAATAATACCTGATGAATTTCTAGTGTTCGAGGGAAAAGAAAGCTGAACTTCAGATGCTCAGAGAAGAAGAATAGTAAAAAAAGAAAAAGGAAAAAAGAGGAAAAGGAAAGAAGAAGAAGAAAAAAAGACACACAGAGTTCAGGGGACTTGGGTCTGAATGATGGTTCCAAAGCAGATGGCTCTAGACATATAACCCCTCTAAACCCTGGTCCCTCATATGGGTAAATATGGATAATTAGAACGGCTCCTCCCAAGGCTTCCCAGAATCATACGATTTCATGACTAAGAAAGTGCTTTGCAAGCTTTGAAAGTACAATATGTGTCTTCAGGATGATTATTACTATTCTGTTTTTGAGTAGAACCAAACAGCAGAGTCTTAAAACAGAAAGCCACAGGAACAGAAAATAATCCGTCCATTCCACAGGCATGGCACTTAGAGGGAAGTCCAACCCACGCCATCGGGAAGGCTCAGGCAAGAGATGTGAAGGGTCTGGCTGAGGGCACCGTCAGCCAGGATGGGGAGGTAGGCTTTGGGCCAAGAGATACCTAAAAGATGACATCCGGAGGAGATTAAGACTGAAGGGAAATGGGAGGAAGGGGACGTAGTCTAGAGTTACCCCAGACTCCTGGTTTTGAGGCCTAGGTGGTACCAATCCCTGCACTAAGGTACATAAAACAACATGCTTGAGCAGAAAAAGGCAGGTTTAGTTTGAGACCAGAGATCCTGGATGTGAGACTCTGGAGGTCAGAAAAGAAAAACAAACAGGAGATCGAGATTGCAGCATGGTTTTAAGTCACGTGGAGTAGTGGGCACAGCTAGAATACACTGTTTGCCCTGTACTACCAGCCAAAGGAGCTGGGCTAGATGGGGGAGCGAGGAAACCAGCACAGAAATGGAATCAGACCTGGGCTGCCCTCCTGGCTCTCCACCGTCTCTCCTGGACTTTGGGCTAAACAGTCATCAGATCTGGAGGCTTCCGTGTCTGCCTGTAAGACAGGAACTGCCAGCCTGAGGGCCCTTCTTGCTCTGACACCTACAGGTGGTGGTGGAGAGGGCAGTGGCTGGATGTGCGTCCAGGAAACTCTAGGAAAGACAAATCTAATTGATAATGGTCAGAAGCCGATCAGTGGTTGCAGCACCTGAGTGAGGGGTGGACTGAGAAGGACACAGAGTTTTAGGGTGAGGAAATGTCCTACTTGATTACGGTGGGTAGGCACACAGGTGTGTACGTTTGTCAAAACTCATCAAACTGCATAGGCAACATAGGAACCTTTCATTGTATGTAAATCATACCTCAGTGAAACTGATTTAAAAATCAGAATCGGTAAATTCATAGAAATGGAAAGTAGATTAGAGGTTACTAGGGCTTGGAGATAAAGGGGAATAGGGTGTTACTGTTTAATGGAGACAGAGTCTGTTTGGGATGAAGAAAAGAGTTTTGGAAATAGTGGTGATGGTTGCACAACATTGTGAATGTAACTAATGCCATTGAATTGTATAATTGATTAAAATGGCAAAAGCTATGCCATATATATTTTACCACAAAAATTTTTAAAGCTAAAAAAAAAAAAACCTAGTTATATTCTAGGTCTGCTTTGTGCTGGCTGAGTGACCTTGGGCAAGTCACCAAATTCTGGGGAGCCTTGCTGCTTCTCTGTAAATGGAGATGGGATTGCCCAGGGTACAGCCTCAGTGTGACGCCCACGTGAGATCACGGATGTGATACAGAAAAGGCCTTTAGAGACTGCAAATGTTTCTGTAAATGTAAGCTGTTATCACTCTGTGGTTCTGCCT